CTCCCCGCGCCAGCCAGCGCCGCCCCAGACCAGGCTCCTCGGGTCCGGCTCCGCTGGACAGGCTCCTCGCTGCCAGGGACGCAGCCGGTCACCGAGGCGCGACAGGACCCGGAGCAGAGCAAGGCAGCGGGGGCAGGGGGACCCCGGCCGGCGACAGCATGAAATTCAGCCCCGCGCACTACTTGCTGCCGCTGCTACCCGCGCTGGTCCTCGGCACTAGGTGAGTCCGGCAGCAGAGTGACCAGGTCCCTCCGCAGGTCGGCGGGAGGGCGAGTGCTCCGGGCTGCTGCCCTGGCCCCGGGAAGGAGGTGGCCCAGCCACTGGGGTTGGGGGTGCTCTGGGAGCAGAGTCTGGGGTGAAGCCAGCTCCTTGGAGAAAGTCTTAGCATGGCTCCCAATAAGGGACAAGAGCTTCCCTTGAGAAGGAAAAGAAGACGTTATTTTTCCCTTCCTGCCCTAGAAGGAGTGGACAGAAAGCATGCTATTACGGAGCAAAATAAAGAAAGGAAGTGCAGACACAAAAAGGGGATTGTCACCAGGCAGTGCCTTTCAACTGGAGCTGTTTTCATAACCACAGAGCTCCCCACCTTCCCTGAGGGTGCCTGGTTTTAAACCCAGGGAACCAGAGCGCGCAGAAGATGCTAGAAAGAGCTAAAGACTTGCACAAAAGTTCCTGGACTCCTGCGGTGGCTTGTTCTGATGTCTTGAGTGGGCGCAGTGATAGGTGTTTTCATCTGGCTGTGTTGTGAATAGGTTAGAAGTTAGAACACACTCTGCGCTGATGCAGAGCCCCTGGTCCGAAACAATTAGGTACTGTGCTGGCTCCCTGGCCTGAGATGCGACTTAAGCCCCGCACAGAGGAGCTATTTTCAGTGGAGAGTTAAAATGCAGTGACTGAGAAGAGTTCTGTGACTTGGTACTGTTGATCAAGTCCCAAAGTTGGTGATGGCTTCGCTTTCTGCTTCCACAAGAGTGGACTGTTTCCTTGCCCGGGCTGTCTTTATTCGGCATGACCTTAGCATCATATTGGCAGCAACTTCTTTCCCTTGGCTACCAGAAAATAAAATAACCCACACAGGATGGCGATTCTTTCAAATCTAAATGAATGGAAACATTGTTAGTTTGCACATCTGATGGAAAAATAAAGGCGAGATATAGAGTTACATGCAATCTGGAAACGGAAAAACATAAAACTTGTTTCCTCTTAAAACCTAGATGATAAAGTTCTTCAGTGCATTTCTCATGTCACACTTTCTTTCAGGCCTGTGTAACCAAACTTTCCTTTCTGCTTAGGAGCAGCTGCATTTAGCCCTAATCATGCATTTAGTCTTCTTTTATTCAAGTAGCACAGGTAACCTTTCCAGCCTAACACAGAATTTGAGTTTTATTTACTCTAAGGTTTCCTTGCTACTTCACTTCATAAATGCACATGGTTTTCAAGAAAGTCAGTGTCTCATATTATTATCATCACTGGCCCCAGGTAAAACCCTCTTAAGTAGACTTGGTTATCACTACAGTCACTGCTACAGATTATGCCTCTCAGGTATGCTTGGATTCTCGTCACTCATTCTCATATTTACTTACGGAATCTTCTAGAGAAAGGATATTTTCAAAATTTGTACCCTTAAGATGGCAGTCAACATGTCTATAGAACAGTAAGTATTTAAGCAATGGCAACAAAGCCTAAAGTGACTGTAGAGAGAGTAAAAGATGCTATGACTTCAGTGCCCAAAAGTTCCAGTCTCTCTCTCCCAAAGTTTCCTCAGTTATAGACTACAAAGATCATCTTTTTCCTCTTTTCGGAGGTGTTATTTTCTGTGAAGATAAATGTATTTAACAAAAGTCAACATGTTTACTACAAACACTGATATAGTAATCCTAGTTCTCTTTAAATATGAAACTTCTTTAATGCTATTTATATGAGAAGACTACGATGAATCTTCAAGTTTATCCAAAAAATATGCTGGGTTTGAGAAAAAATAAAATTTTCATCAACTGATGAAAATTTTCATTGGTGTGAGTTCTTTGTAGTAATTCATTAAGCTGGAAACAGATTACCTTGTGACTGAAAAGATTGAGAATGAACGTGGTACTATCAATATGTCACTTTGCAGGAAGCGAATATGTTACAAAGGAGGTTAGCAGAAGGCCCTTCTCTTTGTGGCATTTAACAGTCCTCTCAGGCATGTGAGTAATGTCCATGGTAGTGCATGAGCTGAATAGCTTTGTGGGAACAGTTGCACGAGGAGGTGTGAGCTTATTGTCCTGCTGGGAAAAAGGTGTAGCTCAGCCACAGACACCTGTGATGGAGGATTTTGCAGCCAAAGACTTCTGTTAACTTGTTTTCTTAGTCAGAGGTCCTGTGTGTGAAGCAGATGGTATTTCCTATGCTCAAGCAATCTTGAGGGTATCAGCAGAGGTTGGATAATGCCAGTTTTTCCTATACACTTTGGGGAATGTCACAGCTCTTACTTTCTTTTTCCTTCTCAAGTGTTGTGAAAGTGGGGCAGAGACCCTTGGTGCCAAAACGTGTTGATTTCATCATCTCTCTCTCTCCTTACTACTTTGCTATTTTTGCCCGTAGTTCTACTGTTCATTTCTGTTTTAATGTAAAGCAACGCTGAAGCCAGGGCTGCAGTTAGAAAGACACTGTGATTATTCTAGTTGCAAGGATAAAAGTTGAAGGCATTTCTACCTTTTATTTTATTTATTTTTTTTTCTACCTTTTAAATAGAAATTTTTGAATTGCTTTCTGTTTGTTCCTCCTCCCTACCTATTCTTTAGCAACATTAGACATAGAAATACAAAGAAATCCTGGAATTTCATTGGTACAAGTAAAGTCAATACCTCTCCCATTAAAGTTACTTTATCCCTTACCCCTAAGAGCTAAATATTCGCCTTCAACAATAGTCAGTTTTTCTTTGTTTTTTTTTTCCCCCCGGTAAACACCATAGAAACATCAAAAACGGTTTAATTTCCAGGCATATTGTCTCTCTTTAGAAAGTACATACAAATTCAAGAAGTTCAAGTTAATGATATGAATAATGTAGCTAATACAGAGACCCATTTAACCTCTTCACAAATAAATGTGGTCAAAGAAAGCAAACAAATGTGTTGGTTTAATAGCTTCAGAGTAGAATGAATGTACTTTTTAAATAACCTCCTTTTGCAGAAGTATTAAATTGCTATTTCAAGGCAGCCAGTAATTCACTTCAGAAAGGAGTAGTGTAGGTAGTGAGAGGAATGGTAGGGTAGGAAATTCTTTAGAAGTCCTTGGTGAAAAGGGACCCACGGAGAGCTAAAGGAAGCTTATGCTTTAGTCTGCTGAACCTTTGTTCCTTTATGCTGTGGTGATCCTCTTGACGCCTTTGGATTGTTAAATTTTAAATGACTTAATGGGGAGAGAGACAGGGCAGGGAGGAGTGCAGGTCTACTGACTTCTGGTGTTTCTCCATCAAACAAGAACTTTGAGCGGATGGTGTGCCATAGTCCTCCCAACGGGACGCACTCGGAGGTCTCTCAGAGGTGGTACCTCATGTTTGCTTTAGAATCTATTTCGGGATGATGCAGCATATTAAGGATGCTCAGACTCCCGTTCGTTGGGTTCTTTACTGTCACCTCAGGATTAAGTTCAGGAAAGGGTAAGAATCAAAGCAAACACATAATAAGTACACAATCTTATTTGTTTGTTGCTATTATTGTTGTTGAGGCAGAGTTTCACTATGTTACCCTGAAGGACCTCCAACACACTGTGTTTCTGCTTTAGTCTCCTAAATAGTTGGGGTTAGAGATATGTGTCACAATGCCCAGGGTCACACAGGAAATATATTAGTGGACACAAATTTGATGTAGAGAACAATTTTGTTTTAATCCCCCAAAATAGTCTAGTAAAGGAGGCTTTCTGCACATTATGTTCAGAGTAAGTTTACTTCACCTGTGAACCTATCCAGATTCTTTTGTTCATGGAAGAATCAGCCCATTCTGTGTAAATACTTAGAGTAATATCTTTCAAAAGAAAATAAGAAATAAAAATATTGCGACACTTGAAGTTCTAATTGTAGACCTAACTTACCTATTTCTAATAGTATGTATATTTGTTAAAATGACTTGCTTGGGGATTATCTTTGGACATTAAAGTTTGTCTATGTCTAATGATAGGGCAGCCTCCATGTGTTGGGTGTGATCTTGGCCTAAACCAAACTCTATATGATTGAAAGGAAGAGCTTGACATTCCAACCAGGAGATAAAAATCGCTGAAATCACTGAGGAGTATGTGTGAAGATATTTTCTCATGTGTCCTCTGAGACACTGTGTGAACCAGTTTTGGGGTAATCCTAGAGGATTTTTCACAATAAAGTCAATACACAGGGCTATATCATTTACATAATTTTAATATGATTAAATAAGCACTGCTTATAATTATGTATTTTCCACCAAGGAATTAAAACATCTATGTGAATTTGACTTTATTCCTTTAGAAGCATCAGTGATATTTTCAGTATAACTCAGCGAGTGTACCAGAAATCAGTCGGTTACTACCTGAAGCTTGAGGACAACAAACAATATAGATTACTTACAAATACATCTCTCTGGAACTAGACATATAAACAAGTGATAAACAAGATGAAAACTTGGCAACTGTGACAAAGTTCTACATGTGAAAAAAGGAGAGAGAATAATGCCAATTAAGTTCAATTAATCCTTATCTAGAGATGAGTAACACTTTGCAGTCAATATCAATGTCATGTCACAATTATTACTGTATGCATTTAGGGAAATTTTTTTGTCCTTTTGATCCAGATTTTCTATAGACAAAACAATATGACTTGCAGAACCAATTTCATAAGGTTATTTTAAAGACCGAATGAGTTAATTCATGGAAAAAGTTTAGAAGATTCTGTGGAACACAATATATACTCAACAAGGGCCACTGTATTATATTGTTATTAACTTGATGAAATTTTTGAATCTGTGTTCAATCTGGTCATAGATAGAGAGTAAATTGAATGCAAATTGATAAAATGAAACCAAATTAACAAAAGCACATCCATCATTCAAAAAAGGAAAGATAGAAGAGGAACCAAGAGTGTAATGAAAGTTACTGTACCTTCGCCACTTATTCTTTGTAGCTTGTTAGTGGCATAGCTTTTGGACATTATCCTACACTTTAGTGAAGGTCATGAAAGTAGCAATATTTAATTTAATCACATAGAATGTGATT